TCCTTTAGGGACTATGGTTATTCACAGCAAARTTATTTTTAAGATAAATTTCTAACAAATATATCCTATTTTTTCAATTTGTKTAAGTAATACAGTCAACTATTTAGCTCGTTCTAGGTGCCAGTCACATTCCAAACACTTATCTACATTAACAAATTTAATACAGCAACCCTGTGTGGTAGATGCTGTTATTAGCTTCATTTTCAGATGAGGGAATTTTGACAGGTTAAAAAACTTGACAGGAAGCTGTCAAAGAACACAGCAAGGATTTGAACCCCAAAAGTCTGATGATTAAGTCCAGGCATTTCTTCCTGTCTCAGATATCATCAGAGATTTTTCAGCTTCCAAACAAAGACAAACAAAAACGTATTTATCTATAGTAAACTTTCCGTCTGTTTGGAAAGAACTGCCTCACTCCATGATAGGTGGTAAAAGGGTTAGTAATATAACAATAACTGCTTTCAACACTTGCTTCCTGAAGGTTACCATTACCTTGGAATCACTCCTGGGAATCCCCTAACTGCACTTCCAGAGTGTCAAATGCTGCAGTCTGGCTGGGCACAATTCAGGAGCCACTTGTCAAAAGAAACTAACTTTATTTTTAGAACCACACACGCCAAACAAAACAGCTCCTSAGGAAAAACCCTCAGAGCCCAACTGCCACCACCGGCTTCCCACAGCCTCTCACACAAAACACACAAGCCTCTCCCACTCCCACAATCCTTCTGCTCTTGAGGCTGATTGGCTGGGTCGCATGGGCGGAGCCAAAGAAGTCCCCCAATGAGCAGCTCCGTGGTCTGAAAGGGCAGGGAAACAGCCCAATGAGCATCACCGCAGAGGAGCCAATCAGCTAGATGTTGCTAGGGCCGCTGTGAGCCAATCATCAGCTGGAAGTCTGAAGGGCGGGGGAAACAGCTCAATGAGCATCTCCAATGAGCATCACCACAGAGGAGCCAATCAGCTAGATGTTGCTGGGGCCGCTGTGAGCCAATCATCAGCTGGCAGTCTGAAGGGCGGGGAAACAGCTCAATGAGCATCTCCAATGAGCATCACCACAGAGGAGCCAATCAGCTAGATGTTGCTGGGGCCGCTGTGAGCCAATCATCAGCCGGCAGCTGGAAGTTTGCTGGCAGCTGGAAGTTTGCTGGGGCCCCTTCAGCTGTGGCTCTCAACATCCAAGTACTTCCTGCCAAGGACCCCTGCCAACTTCTCCTGTGACTAGATCGTCAAAAGATGATGAGTTGGGCTCAAGCATCCAAAATTTTTATTTGAGGCTCTTTGGAATGCAAAAACTAAAATCACCTAATTTGGCAGTTTAAACAACACTATAAGCATAACATTTTTAAATAGTGGACTCGTGTTAAGCAATGGAATCAACTAGATTTTTATCCAGATAAGAACAATATTCATGCATTATTCTGTAAATAATTGTGGTCTACTCTGGACAGGGCAGTGTTCTATGTTCTTGAGAAAAACAGATAAAGATTCTATTTCCTGGAAGCTTATATTATTTAAGTGTTAGACCTCCTATTAAAATATAAAATCCAATGTTTGACTTCAAAGTTTAAAACTTGTAAGTTTCCTGAAAATGTACCTATGATCTGACACCTGAGAAGGTGACTGAAACACTAGCTCAACATAGAGGTCATGTGCCCACTATTGTTTGCGTTCTGACACATTTTTTAAAAGTGTTTATCTATTCATTAATTTCTCCAAAAAGTACAGTATACTACTCTTTGGTGACCAAACATTATTAGACTATTACATAAAATTTAGACTTTGAATATTTTCTGTTTGGAGTAATATAAGACAGAATGGAGTAAATGTTAATGTACTTTTTTCTCCACACACAAGTAACTAAAGCTGGATTTGAATACAAAATCTTCACCCAAAAATTATGGCTTAACCTACATACACATGTACTCACATGAATTCAAGTATCCTGTATTTAGTCTCTTCCTGCCTCAGAAAAGTATGGATTAATATCAGAATTCTTTCCCCTGATGTAAATAACCCCTGCAAATAGATGTCTAAGACCCTGCACTCCACTCCCTACCATCCAAACTCAAGGTAAGTTTGGTCAGCATCCGCTCTTTGGGAAAAGTGAAAAGTTGTGAATAATTGATTATTAGAGGAGTGCGACAAACGCAAAACATACTTTTGGAAAGAGAGTGTTCATAAATGTTGTACTGGCCAAGCATGAATCAAAGATATGCGTGTATCTGAGATATATTTATGATTTCCAGAAAGATATCTCTTGAACTCATGCGCTCTATACTGAATCACTCACCTTCACTAAAGTCTTAAAATTTAGAATTGGAAGACACCCTAGAATTCTGATATTAATCCATACTTTTCTGAGGCAGGAAGAGACTAAATACTGGCTTGCACCCATATGTGCTGAAGAATGATCTGTTCTCTCAAGTCCCCACATCCCAAAGTGTTTCCGAGGGTTTCTAGAATGTGCACATTTGTTCTCTGGTAGGCTTCTGCTGAGCCCCTGCTGCATGTGGGCCCACCACTTTTCACCTAGGTACATCCTACAGTAGTTGTCCCAGGCTTTGCTACAGCTTCTCTGGGAAAACTCTGCCTTGCCCCAGGGTTGTGTCCACCAGCTCCAAAGCTTTGGAAGTCTTCAAACAGCCTTGCATTTTCTCCATGTTTTATTACAGAGTGGGGACTGCTTGGAGTCTATGCACAAATGTATTCCCCTTTCTCCACAGGGATCTGACCTGGTCATTGAGGCCAGACTAGAAACTGGTCTTCATTTTTGATCTTTCAGCTTGAGCTCCATATACCTGAACTTAAAATTTCTGCAGGATCTTACTAGTATACATGTGTGTACAGAGTATAATGTATGTGTGTATATGTATACATATCAAGACATATATGCATATACAGTGATTTTAGTTTTCATAAAGTTACCATTATCACTTGAATACTGTTCTTAATAAAATGCTACTTAATAGTTTAAAAATATTTTCTCTTTTTTAAATTTACTATCTTGAGGCAACATTTGAGTGCCTTAAGTTGTTTATTTCCACTTTACAACTATTAAGTAGCATTATACTCTGTACACACATGTATACACATACATTTTAACAATTGCATTTCTACAATAACCCTAGTCTACACGGATTAATTTCCATTTTTCTTACTAGAACACACTGGTGCTTACATGAAGGAAGTATCTGTTTTTACACATAAATAAAATGAAATTCCTCAGAGGGATTGGGACATGGTATTTATCAGGCTCAAAGTCAATGCTGATTACAGTATTGCCTTAATCATCTCCAAMAATGGTTTTTAACAACATTATAAAAGGAATGAAGAAGTACCAAGGAACTGTGCTTGTTGCAGTTTGACTTCACTATTTTATTCCTGTCTGTGCTCATATGGAATCCACATTTTGGCCTCTGTAAAGAAAATGATCAAATCCATGTTAATTTCCAGAGACTATTGGCTGAACCTTAACTGAAAGAAAAAGATATCAGTCGCAGTGGCCAGTTACTACAAAGGGTTATCCCATTAGAATTGGCTGTTTCCACTACAAATTCTAATATTATCCATAATCTTGGATTAATCTTGATCAGGCATTCAATGTTGTTGTTCTTTCTACAGCACACAGAATGGCTAATATCGTCCTAAACTTTCTGCTCATAGACAAATAAACAATACAAATATAGAAAACAAAGTGTAATGTAATGTTACTTAAGAATGAAGTTAACAATTGCAATGATACACTGAACAGTTTAAAATGTAAAGTCTATAAAGTGCCTGGGCGTTTTTTTGTTTTTTGTTTTTTGGGTTTTTTTTTTTTCCTTTAATTTGAAAGGACTTTGGAGTCCCAATATAAGGAAGTTAACTGTACAAAAAAAAAAAAAAAATTCCACTTTTGAGTTGACTTTTCAGGCTATAAAAAAGCTCACAAAATTTCTTGACAGCTTTAAATACTGCTCATTTCTTTAGGTAGATTTAGCTACTACCGATGTTGGAGATACTTAGAAAATTTCTTTATAAGAGAAAATATTTCTTTCTGAATGTTTGACTCTCTAGCTTTCACTGAATATTTACATTGCAAGCCAAAATGTCAATTTAAAATTTCCAGGAACAYAAATCAAAGTTCAAGGTATTTAGTAGCCTACAGAATGTCTGATCTCCAGATACACCTCATTAAGTCACCTGTAATTGCTTAACAAGATCTGTACTCACTGGGGCTGGGGTTGTGGCTCAGTGGTAGAGGGCTCGCCTAGCATGTGTGGGGCCCTGGGTTCAWTCCTCAGCACCACATATAAATAAATAAAATAAAGGTATTGTGTCTAACTACAACTAAAAAAAAAAAAAAAAAAAATCTGTTTGCTTGAACCCCAACCCCACTCCAACTTCCTAATCCACCCTTCCAGATCTGACTCTTTTCTCTTCTAGCTGTGACTTCTACTTGTCTTCATAAACATTGTTTTAACTACTGCCTACATCAAATAGAAAACTGACACTTTGTAGATGAGCTAAAATGCACCCAGCCCCTTCCCCAGTAGGTTGGTAAAAAAGTTATTCTGGCCTCTTGCTATTTCTTTTTTTAATAAGGTATGGAGTGGGGATGGGGGCATGGGAAAAATGGAAGAACTCTGAATGCTATTTCTTTTGTTACTCATGTTTGCCTGAATGGGAGGTGAAACGTAAACTCAGTGATTTGCCTTTTCCCAGTTTTACATCTCATAAGGTACATTTGTGATCAAAATTTTTGAGGACAGAATGGATGAAGAGCTGACTTTTCATCAACGACCTGRCCACTTTGCCGCGGACACGTTTATAAGTGACACCAGGAAGCAATACCTTGGAGCAGCCATTGCTGGAGATTCCCAGCAAAGGTTGGCAGGTGAACCGATCACGTGGCACCGGGCCCTAGTGGGTCTGCGCACGCGTACTCCCTCCGCCCCGCCCGCACCCAAGTGTTCGCGCAGGCGCACGAGAACAGCTCCAGTGCCGTTGGATACCCTAGCCACCAGAGGAGCCTGAGGACCGGCTCAGGGCTGGACTCCGGGCTACCTCTTGATGGCCACKCAGCGGCATCTGGGGACCTGGCGCTGAGGCCGCCCTCGGCCGGGATCTGCCTCTTCAGCGGACCCGGGCGCTGGAGTGAGGCCCCGGACCAGGGAGACGGCCCAGGCGGGGGAAACCTTATCCTGGGCCTGGACCGGAGAGGGGGAAACTCGATCTTTGGGACTTTGAACAAGTAAAATGCGAGGTAATGATGTCGCTTGCTTTGCTTTCCCAAAGTGTCGGTAGCCATAACGGGACAAGGAGTCTGAGGCCCGCGCCCCATTATGCTTCCCCGCTGCAGGTTGGGCCTCGTCGCCCCTTGTTTGTCACTTCCTCCAGCTGCCGTCTCTGGGTCCTAGCCCAGGGCATGCAAAAATGAATTCCTTGGCTTCTGGGAGTTCTTGCTGACTTAGGAGCCAGCCCTGAAAATCAAAAGTAGGAATTATGGGCAAAATATTAGGAAAACAAGAATATCTAACAGACCTGTCAGTCACCGCAGGCTTCCCAAAGATTCCTGCTGCAGCCCTTAGACTGAAACCAGGTAGTGGCCCCCCCGGGAGGTAAAGGTGAGCTGGCTGGTGAAGGGTTTTTGAAAATTTTGGACATAAGTGATGTTTCCCCACCCTGCTGCCCTCAATTTTTCTATTTATTTATTTGGGTTTTTTTCCTAAAGACAATGAGGGTTTGCATCTCTACCGAAGATGTTTTACTGAAGATGCTAGAAGTGGATTCTAGTGCAAGCTCTGTACTAGAAGAGAATTGTTGTAGAATKTCTGTATAAAGCAATCCTGGAGTAAGAGATTAAGGTTTGGAATATGGACTAGCAGACTTGTTCTTTGTCTCCTTTTGGGTTCATGATGGAACCATCAGATAATAAAGACAAATAAATGATTATTTCCATTTACATAAACATGATACATAAGTGGATTGTAAAGTAGCCAAATGTAGAATTTTTTTTAGAAAGAATTCCAAAGAATTCCATGAATGTTGGAGTATTTCTTTCTTCCATCAAATAAGCTGAGGATTTTAAACACAAACACACATACACACATTCTTTTTTCTCATTAATATTTATTTGACTATTTCACTTGGGGTGGCTTAAGTGGGGGTCTGATAGAGATTATAGTGTTGCTAAATATTTTACACCCAGAGTCGCTTCATGTCTCTTCCACTGTTTAGCAGTGAGTGTAAAAAGAATTCCTCTAAATRCACAAAAGGATTTATTTTTATTTTCCTCTTATCTGAAAAGTAGCAAATAATGATTTTCATCATTATTCTACGTGAATTCTATAATTCTGTGAATTTTATTTAATTGTGACACAGAGATTTAACGTGGGTGCCTATACATCCAAAGCCACCTTTTTTACTTATCTCAAATTGAATGTATAAAGTTTGCTTCAATTACTAACATATTGTTTTTTATCTTTTGTTATCAGTAGCTCTTATAAGCATTAAGAGACATTGAGAAAATAAATTTCAGAAACAAGGATTAATGAAAACAATCAAGCCATTAAATTTTAAGGGTATGGGATCATTTAGTCAAAACTCCCTTCTTTCTGAAAAGATCAAGATTGAAATTTTAAAATCATCAGTCAGGTGTCATGACTCCTATATGACATACTAGCAGATGCAGAATTTCACTTCTACAAAAGGATACAGTCCTACAAGGGAATGGAATTATTAGCCAAGTTTTTATCTTAATACAAAGATGATCTAAACACTAGGAAGACTAAAGGGGAAAAAAGAACAGGAGCTACTGTTAGGATTGCAGAGCAACTTCAGTAAGTTGTGTGATAGAAGAAAAGATTATAAAGAGAGAAGAACTAGATAGGAAGTATGTGTCCACAAAAAAAAGCACAGTTGGCCAATTSAAGTATGTGAAGTTATTTTTTAAAATGCAAACATGGCATTATGAATGATATTAAATTGATTATGAATTGCAAATGAATTGTTCAATTCTTTACCGTAAATTCTCTAATACTGTTCCTTAGATGTCCCTTCTATTAGGTCACCTATAGACACTACTTGCCACTAAAAGGTGATATCTGTAATATACCAGTATTTTTTAGTCACAAAGAGGCTTTTCAGTCATGGAGGCTGTCATTCRGAAGAAGTGGATAATGCTGATACCTCTAAGAATTGAAGCATAGAAAGAACAACTGTTGCTTCTAACTTTAGGAAGATGATTAAAACTATAAAAAAGAATCAAACTTATGTATTTTTTTCTGAGGAAATCATGTGTGTGTGTTTTGTATTGTTTTGTAGAAGTTTGCTAATAAAGCTATCACCAAAGGTTAGAAACAAAATCAAGTAGAAGAAATGCTTATAGTATGGCATGTGGGAACACCTCTACAGCAGATAGTCTTGTGTTAGGGGTAAGTAATATTTCACTTTGACTAAATTCACRGTCATAAATATTTCAGTTTTGAGAAGAGTATTCTTGGATCTGGAAAGGGATAGCTTTGGTTAAATCAAAGGATAAGAATTTAATATTTAAAAAAATGTTGATTGTCTTCTACAAATGTCGACTAATGTTACATTCCTAAACATTGACAAAAACCAACACACACAGTATTAGAGAAACCCAAGGAATAAAGTTTTAAAAAGAGAGAGGGTATGTGTGTGTTTTAACTTTAAGAGAGACTATCATTGATTTTTTAATTATTATACAGTAGGATATGGTAATTTTGTCTTATTAAATTATAAACCTGTGAGGTTAAAAACAGTTTACTCTTAATAAATACTAAAGAATTATGAGGATCATGCAYTTTTACATCTAAAAGGAAGAAAACTTTTCCATTGACTGATTCTTCCTCTGAATTTGAATACTGTGTATGCCATTGTTTTAAGTCTTCTATCAGATTGTTAGCAGAGATCTTTAACCTCTCTGGGGTCATAGACCACTTTGAGATAGAATGAAAGCCTGAGTCTTCTCCCCCAGAATCATGGATATATGGTTGTTTTTATACTTTTTTTTTTTTTAAGTTGGAGACAGGGAGTTTGACCTCCTGGAACCCACTTTTTGGCTCTGAATTAAGAACTTAGTTTTTATTTTCTCAGTTCTGGGGATGAAACCCAGGGCTTCCACACATACTGGACAAGTGCTGTACCACTAAGYTCTATCCCARGCATTAAAAGCCATTTTTAAATAAGAAAACCTGCCTTTGGCAGAGTTCTTTATAAGCTTTGACTATGTAGATATTTCCTAGTTTTCTATAGAAAAGCATCCAGTCATATACAAAGAGACATTATTTTCCAAGCCTACTCCTTTTATCCCTGGCAAAGTCACATGGAATTAGTATTCTTTTTTTTTTTTTTTTTTTTTTGAATTAGTATTCTTGATACCAGTATGCTTATACAGGCGGTATTCACTGGGTACCCACTCTGTGCTGGGCACCTAGAGACTGATGATGCAATAAGGAAAAAAACAAAGTCCAGGCCCTCAGGAATTTTGCAATCTTAGTAGGTAATGTTTCTCCTCATTAAGTCCAAAAAACTCTGAAATGATATCATTCTTGTAAATATGATGCAGTTAGAAAGCTTAAATTCTAAACATAAAGAATAGATAGGATTGTTATCAAAAAGGARGTATCTAAAAAAAGAAAAATACATTCTCTACTAGCTAAGTGCATTGTGTTCCATAGAATACTTGCTTTACAAAGTACAAAAACTCTTAAAACATTAAATAGCTTCCTATTAAAGTTTATATGAAAAATGAAAATAACACTCCATCATTTTTAAAGATTAATTATAAAAATGTATAGTATATGAATTATCAGCTCACATAAATTTGAAAATAAGTTTTCTGGGATAATAATTATATTTTTACAAGTTAAAGTTGAATAATAATTCTCTCCTGTTCTAACTTGTCATTTATCTAATGGAAGGATCTAATGCAAGAACATCTGCCTGAGATATGCTTTATGTTATTGTATGGATTATGGTTTACTCTAGCATGCTTGTGAAAAAAATCYATACATACCAAGTATTCCTTGAAGGAAAAGATAAACCTTTCTAAGATTCAAAAGAACAAGAAAATGTCAAATATATGGCTTCCTGCATCCAAGTAGATTAGGAACCACATTTTCCTACATACTGTCAGTATTCTTTCCTTATACCATAACTTGACAGATGGTATAATTGAATTGTTAACTTTCTTATGGGAGAAGTGGTCTGAGCTACTATTTTTAAACAATCTTTTGGTCTAGTATGACTGATTCCTAATTGAGAAACCTCAGTCCTTCCTGATCAGGGCTTTCTTTCTGKACTAACCAATTCAGGAAATACATGGGTAGGTGTATTGCTGTTTTACCATCATCTTTTGTAAAGGTGTTGAATATTTCTTATAGTTAAAATTCATTGGAATTGTGTGTTAAATTACATTGTTTCAGTACTAACAACATTCTCTTTTTATAGGCTATCCAGATTATGATTGGCATTTTTCATATTTTCATGTGGTATTTCCTATTGGTTTTGTATATGGGACAAATTAAAGGAGTCTTTGGGACATATGAACCTATAACTTACAAAACAGGATGTGCTTTTTGGGGAATTTTTGTGAGTACAATACATTTATATTGATTTCATTATAATATTCATTTCAGTACTAGAAGATAGAAAAATAATGATAAAAATATTTAATTTTCATATAAAATCCAGATAATGATGCATGGTTGATAAGTGATGTACTGACTCATTAATAAATGATGCACTACTTATATATACCAAAGCATTGCCTTGGAAAAAGAATAAGAGAAAAATAATGAATTTTCAAATTAAATTTTCAAATTAAAAAGCTTCTGCACAGCAAAGAAAACTAGGGCATATGGAGAGAGCCTGCAAAATGGGAGAATATCTTTGCCAGCTACTCTCTGACAGGGGATTAATATCTAGAATATATAAAGCATTCAAAAAGCTTAACACATGCACACATACATACAATTAATAAATGGGCAAATGAACAAAGCAGACATTTTTTAAAAGAAGTACAGATTACCAACTAATAATGTAAAAATATGTTCAACATCCTTAGCAATTAGGGAAATGCAAATTAAAACTACATTAAGATTTTATCATACTCCAGTCAGAAATGGCAGTCATCAAGAATACAAATAATAAATGTTGGTGAGAATGTGTGGAAAATGGTACACTCATTCTTTGTTGGTGGGACTGCAAATTAATCCAACTGCTTTGGCAGAGCTTATGGAGGGAGATTCCTCAAAAGACTAGGAATGGAACCACCATATGTTCCAGCTGTCCCACTATTTGATATTTATCCAAAAGAACTAAAATCAGCATACTGTAGTGAAAAAGCCACATCAGTGTTTATAACAGTGCAATTGAAATTCACAATAGCCAGGTTAGGAACCAGCCTAGGTGCCCATCAACACACGAATGGATCAAGAAAAGGTAATAAAACACAAGGGAGTTTTACTCAACCATAAAGAAGAATGAAATTATGGCATTTGCTGATAAATGGATGGAAATATAGAACCTCTTCTAAGTGAAAATAAACCAGACACAGAAAGTCAAGAGTGTAATGTGTTCTCTCATCTGAGGAAGCTAGGATAAAATAAGGGAAAAAGGTGGTGTGAGGGGGAATCCCATGAAAATAAAAGGGAAATCATTAGAGTAGAGGAAGGGAATTCAGGAAAGGCAGGAAGAGGAAGGAGACTCCAAGTACATTTCACCTTTATGTCTATCTATAAAGTACCAATTTAAAAAACAAATAAATGGAAGATCAGTAGAGTAAAGGAAGGGCAAAAGATAGAGAGAGGAGGATAAAGAAAGAGGAAGTACTGGGAACTGAAATGGAGCAAA